TGGATGTTCTGAGTGTTGGGGACGGGAATTCTGAGGGATGGCTCTGGGATTCTGGAGGAAGGATTTTGGGAATTCTGAGGGATGGATGTTGGAATTCTGAGGGATGGATGTTGGAATTCTGAGGGATGGATGTTTGGAATCAGGCCTCAGGAATCCTGAGGGATGGATGCTGGAATTCTGAGGGATGGATGTTGGAATTCTGAGGGATGGATGTTGGAATCCTGAGGGATGGATGTTTGGAATCAGGCCTCAGGAATCCTGAGGGATGGATGTTGGGAATTCTGAGGGATGGATGTTGGAATTCTGAGGGATGGATGTTGGAAATCAGGCCTCAGGAATCCTGAGGGATGGATGCTTACTGCACACCCAGCCATCGAGTGCAAACAACTGTTAATTGAGCTGTTAATTGCTCTAAATCCCCGCTGGCTCTTAAATGAGCCACCTCCAAGCTGGAGCAGCCTCACACCTCCTGCTCCAGGGCTCCCAGGCCTTTCCCAGCTCTCCTAAAACGCCTTTCCCGGGATCAAATCTTCCCGATCCCCAGTGCCCTCCTGGACCCCGTTATTCCAAGGGAACGAGGGCTCCTTTCCCACTGCTGCAGCAAACAACCTCGCTGGGAAAGCCGGGAATTCCTTCCAGAAAAATCCGAAGGGAAGCTGAAACTCGGTGACTTTGCGCTCCTCTTTCCTCCCTGTCCCCGCGGGGACTCTGAGGAGCTCCCAACCCCACCACCTCATTTCCTCGGCACCGTTCCCAGGATTTTCAGGATTCCATGGGAAAAGGGGGTGAAGGGCGAGCGAGGGCCGGGGTTTGGTGCCGAGCTCACCCGCTGGCGCAGCGATTCCGTCTCCTCCTGGTACGCCAGCAGCTGCTTCTTCCACTGGTCCACGTTGGCATTGGCCTCGTGCAGAGCGGCCACCAGCTTGTTGTTGTTGTCCTGGAGGCTGAAGAACTCGGCCTCCCACTGCACCTCGCTCACGGAGCTGAGACAGAACAGGAGATTCAGAACACCGCCATTCCCAGTGATTATTATTGGGTTTTATATCATATATAATATATATATAGAGGATGAAGAACTCGGCCTCCCACTGCACCTCGCTCACGGAGCTGAGACAGAGCAGGAGAGCTTCAGATCAACCCCATTCCCTGTGATTATTATTGGTTTAATATTATTTCATATATTATATGTATAGAGGGTGAAGAACTCGGCCTCCCACTGCACCTCGCTCATGGAGCTGAGACAGAGCAGGAGATTCAGAACACTGCCATTCCCTGTGATTATTATTGGGTTTATATTATATAATATATAATATATAATATATAATATATAATATATAATATATATAATATATAATATATAATATATAATATATAATATATAATATATATAATATATAATATATAATATATAATATATATAATGTAATATATAATATATATAATATATAATATATATAATATAATATATCATATATATAATATAATATATAATATATACACAGACTAAAGGACTTGGCCTCCCACTGCACTCGCTCACGGAGCTGAGACAGAACAGGAGAGATTCAGAACACTGCTATTCCCAGTGATTATTATTGGTTTTATATTATATATAATATATATAGAGGCTGAAGAACTCGGCCTCCCACTGCACCTCGCTCATGGAGCTGGGGGGCAGAGCAGGAGAGATTCAGAGCAACCCCATTCCCAGTGATTATTATTGGTTTTATATTATATATAATATATATAGAGGCTGAAGAACTCGGCCTCCCACTGCACCTCGCTCATGGAGCTGGGGGGCAGAGCAGGAGAGATTCAGAGCAACCCCATTCCCAGTGATTATTATTGGTTTTATATCATATATCATATATCATATATCATATATACAGAGGATGAAGAACTTGGCCTCCCACTGCACCTCGCTCACGGAGCTGGGAGACAGAGCAGGAGCTTCAGGAAGAGCAACCCCATTCCCTGTGCTTATTATTGGTTTTATATCATATATTATATATATAGAGGATGAAGAACTCGGCCTCCCACTGCACCACATTAGAGCAGAGCTTGCCTTGACTGGAGGCCGGGCTCAGGAGAAGGCAGCAAAGGACGCTTTGCCTCTGATTTAAAAATACTCCAAGCGTTCAGCTGGGAGCTCGAGAGGAGCCACAGGGCAGAATCCAGCCCCGAAGCCTTTTGAAGAGACAAAGAGAGGAAGCAGCAGGGACTTTGCTGGAATCACCAGGGGAATTAACACAAACACAACCCTGGGCCAGCTGGAAAAGTGTGAACATCCCCTGGTATCACAAACCACTGATCTGGAGATAACTGGCACGGAGCATCCTCCTTCCCACGCTGCCTGAGCAGCAGAATTTCCAAGCTGGAATAACTTCCCTCTGGGAAAAAAGGGGGAAATGGATCCCCTGGAGGGTCTGAGCAGCGGGTGTGGGGCTTTACTCAGGAGAATTAAAAGAGCAGAAGGGGTCAGAATGATTTGGGATGACAAATCCTGCCAGAGGAGAGGGTTTGGGAGTCAGGAGCAGCCTCACCCCTCCGAGAGCATCTTCTTCAGCCTCTCCTTCTCCGTGCTTATCTCCACGTCCGCGCTCTGGCTCCGGAACAATTTATCCTCTCCCGGCCCATTGGAGCTGATGATGGGGCTGGGGAGCACCTGGGGGTGAAGGAGGGGTGGTCACCTCCAGTGGGGACCGGGCTTGTGGCCACAAAGCCAGGCTGGCCCCGCAGGGTCAGCCCGGGGGGGATCCCAGCTCGGGGAGAGCGGGTTTGGCAGCGGGACAGAGGGGATAGAGGGGACAGAAGGGACAGAGGGGACAGAGAGGACAGAGGGGACACAGGGGACACAGGGGACACAGGGGACACAGGGGACAGAGACCCTCAGCCACAGGGGTGGCTCTGGGAGCTTTCTTCTGGGCAGGGAGGTCGGTGCAGTGCCAGCAGTGCCACTCCTCCCTGTCCCTGTCCCTGTCCCTGTCCCCACACCGGGCTGGGGCAGTGATCCCAGCAGAGCAGGGACAGATCCCAGTGCAGGAGGGAACAGATCCCAGAGCAGGGGACACCAGATCCCAGTGCAGGGGACAGATCCCAGAGCAGGAGGGGACAGATCCCAGATCAGGGAACAGATCCCAGCACAGGAGGGGACAGATCCCAGCACAGGAGGGAACAGATCCCAGCACAGGAGGGGACAGATCTCAGATCAGGGAACAGATCCCAGCACAGGAGGGAACAGATCCCAGAGCAGGAGGGGACAGATCCCAGATCAGGGAACAGATCCCAGAGCAGGAGGGGACAGATCCCAGATCAGGGAACAGATCCCAGAGCAGGAGGGGACAGATCCCAGATCAGGGAACAGATCCCAGAGCAGGAGGGGACAGATCCCAGATCAGGGAACAGATCCCAGCACAGGAGGGGACAGATCCCAGATCAGGGAACAGATCTCAGAGCAGGGAACACCAGATCCCAGAGCTGTGGCCTCACAGCTCCCATCCCTGGACACGGAGCTCTCCAGCCCTCAGCTCTGCAGGGAAATGCCACCAGTGTCACCGCGTGTCACACGAGTCCCCGTGGCTCCCAGTGGCCTTTTCAGGCCGGGCTTTGCTGAATTCCTGTGGGGATTTTCCTGCTGTTCCACAGAGCAGCGGGGAGATTTAACAAACACAGAGCTGCCAGCCCTGGCTTCAGCTCAGCTGAATTCAGACACCAGCAGAAAACGGCAGAGCTTTTTGTCCCTTTTTTCTATCGTTTCTCTTTTTTTATTTTCCCTTTTTTCTATCGTTTCTTTTTTCTTTTTTTATTTTCCTTTTTTTCTATCGTTTCTCTTTTTTTATTTTCCCTTTTTTCTATAGTTTCTTTTTTCTTTTTTTATTTTCCCTTTTTTCTATCGTTTCTCTTTTTTTATTTTCCCTTTTTTCTATCGTTTCTCTTTTTTTCTTTTCCCTTTTTTCTATCGTTTCTCTTTTTTTATTTTCCCTTTTTTCTATAGTTTCTCTTTTCTTTTTTTCTTTTCCCTTTTTTCTATCGTTTCCCTTTTTTTATTTTCCCTTTTTCTGTCGTTTCCCTTTTTTCTGTCATCACTCAGGGGACGGTGGCACCCATTTCCCAAAGGTGTGGGACAAGAAACAGCCTCAGCCTCTACAGTTTATCCTCCTCCACTGCTCCGCACGCTTCGGAAACGGAGTCAGGAAGGGGCAGGAGTTTCCTCTTTGGGTGTGAAACCGGGAAGAGTGGAAGATGCTCTGCTCTGTCTCCTCCACTCTCCGCGGGGACACACCCTGGGGCTGCGAAATGGGGTGGGGATCGACCCTAAAAGTGCCAGAGGAGAGGGAAGAGCTGCTGCTCTGGGAATTGCGCGGCCCAGAAAAGGCGGAGAGCGAGGGAAGCGGCGCAGGTGCAGAACAGGAGGGGAGGAGTGATTAATTTGAGTTAATTGCAGCAGGCAGCTCCGCTCTCAACAGCCTCCAATCAATTATTCACAGCCGGAGCTCCTGTCCGCAGCTGTGCTGTGCTCAGCCTGGCAACAGCAGCTGGGCTGGGGACACCGCACGTGTCACTGTCACTGTCACTGTCAGTGTCACTGTGTCACCGTCAGTGTCACTGTGTCACTGTCACCGTCACTGTCACTGTCGCTGTGTCACTGTCACTGTCACCGTCAGTGTCACTGTGTCACTGTCACCGTCACTGTCACTGTCACCGTCAGTGTCACTGTGTCACTGTCACCGTCAGTGTCACTGTCACCGTCAGTGTCACTGTCTCTGTGTCACTGTTACTGACACTGTGTCACTGTCACTGTGTCACTGTCACTGTGTCACTGTCACTGTCACTGTCACTGTCACTGTGCGAGGAGGGCAGAGCCTGGGATGGGGACAGGCTTCAGCTTCAGCTTCAGCAGAGTCAGGGCAGGAGCACGGGCAGAGCCCTGGGCTGGCTGTGACCAAACTGCTCTGCCAGGTGTCACCGCAGGGCAGGGGACAGAGCTGGGGCACCTGAGCAGCTCCTGGAGCACCTGAGCAGCTCCTGGGGCACCTGAACAGCTCCTGGGGCACCTGAACAGCTCCTGGGGCACCTGAGCAGCTCCTGGGGCACCTGAGCAGCTCCTGGGGCACCTGAGCAACTCCTGGGTTACCTGAGCAGTTCCTGGGGCACCTGAGCAACTCCTGGGGTACCTGAGCAACTCCTGGGGTACCTGAGCAGTTCCTGGGGTACCTGAGCAACTCCTGGGGTACCTGAGCATCTCCTGGGGTACCTGAGCAGCTCCTGGGGCACCTGAGCAACTCCTGGGTTACCTGAGCATCTCCTGGGGTACCTGAGCATCTCCTGGGGTACCTGAGCAACTCCTGGGGGACCTGAGCAGCTCCTGGGTTACCTGAGCAGCTCCTGGACATAAAGCTCTGGGAGAGAGCGGGGTGAGAGCAAGAGGAAAGCACCACAGGGACCATTTTTTCCCTTTTCCTCCCCCCGGCTTCCCCAGCGTTACCTGGTGGGATGTGATGCTCAGGGCAGGATTGGTCAGCTCTGTTTTATCCTGGGATTTCTCCCTGGCCAAACGAGCTGCTTCCTTCACCTCCTGGAATTTCTCTGCAAACTGGAGGGGAAGGGCGAAGTCACTGTGGGGCTGAGCTGGAGCGGGCAGAGAGCAGAGCTGATGCCTGCAGCTCCACTCAAAACTCTTTAATTTTTTTAAAAAATTGATTTTAATTTTTCTTAAACAACAAAACAGGGGGAACAACCCCTAAATCTGGGGGACAGAGCCAGGGCCTGCAGCCTCAGCTGGAGCGGTGATGCTCAGAGCGCTCCGTAACACAATTTTAAAGCTGGTTTTGGTCTTTTTGCAGCATTAATTGTGTTCCAGGCGGTCCCTGAGGGGTTTGTGGTGAGCCTGGGCTCCCCCAGGTGTGCTCAGGTGTGCTCAGGTGTGCTCACCTGTGACAGGTGCTGCTCCGAGGCGAAGCCCAGCCCGTAGACGGTGTTGGCTCGGCTGTCGGCCCACTGCCCGAATTTCTGGGATGTTTTGGTGAAGGTCATGTTGGGGGTGATGGTGCTGTTGATGATGGCCTGTGGGGAGAGGTGGGGGGTCAGGGGGTCAATCAGGGGATCAGGGAATCAATCAGGGGATCAATCAGGGGGTCAGGGGATCAATCAGGGGATCAGGGAATCAATCAGGGGATCAATCAGGGGATCAGGGGATCATCAGGGATTCAGGGGATCAATCAGGGGATCAATCAGGGGGTCAGAGCATCAATCAGGGGATCAGGGAATCAATCAGGGGATCAGGGAATCAATCAGGGGATCAGGGGATCATCAGGGATTCAGGGAATCAGTCAGGGATTCAGGGATTCAGGGGGTCAGGGGATCAATCAGGGGGTCAGGGGATCAATCAGGAATTCAGGGGATCAATCAGGGGGTCAGGGAATCAATCAGGAATTCAGGGGATCAATCAGGGGGTCAGGGAATCACTCAGGGGGTCAGGGAATCAATCAGGAATTCAGGAGGTCGTGGATTCAGTCAGGGAATCAGGGATTCGGGGAATCACTTGGAGTCAGGGGATCAATCAGGGTGTCAGGGGATCACTCAGGGGGTCAGGGGAATCATCAGGGATTCAGGGGATCAATCAGGAATTCAGGGGATCAATCAGGGATTCAGGGAATTACTCAGGGATTCAGGGGGTCAGGGAATCAATCAGGGGGTCAGGGGATCAATCAGGGATTCAGGAGATCAATCAGGGGATCAAATCATTTTTTTGTGGGGACAAAATCATTTTTTGGGGAGACAAAATCATTTTTTGGGGGGGACAAAATCATTTTTCTGGTGTGAATCCCCTGCCTGGTGCCAGCGGGGCGCGTTGCCCACCTTGGTTCCCCCCACGCTGATGATCCTGTAGACGCTGCGGGTGGCATCGTAGAAGTAGGAGACGGTCAGGGCGTGTTTGCTGGCCGGGATCCAGTTCCGTTTGGTGGCGGGGTCGATCTGGAAAACGTGAGCCCTGGTGCTGAAGATCGGCTGCTCCCTGCGGGGTGGGGACAGGAAAAGAGGGATGTGAGGGCAGGGAAAAGGGAAATGTGGGGATTTCCTTCTTCCCGTTATCCTGGACGCGTCTCCTGCCCATCCCAAATCCCAGCCAGAACTTCCTGAGGGGAAAAATTCCCTCTCCCAGAGCTCCCCACATCCCTAAATCCTCTAAATCCCAGTTTTAGAAGCCGGGGGAGAAGCTGGAGTCATCCTTTGGCTGAGCAGAGGAAAAGCTGTGTCCCCTGTTTGTCCCCACCATCCCCGCGAGGTGACGGCGGCTCTCGCTCCCCGCTCATCCCGGAAAATCCCCCTGGCACAAAACCAGGGAATTTCAGCCCAGTTTCAGCCCAGGCACAGTTTGTACCTTCCCCCGGGGGTCGGGCTCTGCTGCGCACCCGGGACACGACGCGGTGGCCAAGGAGGGGCACAGAAACGGGCACAGAAACGGGCACAGAAACGGGCACAGAAACGGGCACAGAAACGGGCACAGAAAGCTCAATTTTGGGGTACGGCTGGTGGGATCCTCACGGCACGGCCGTGGGGCAGGGATGGAGGGATGGATTTATGGATGGATGGATGGATGGATTCATGGATGGATGGATGGATGGATGGATGGATTCATGGGTGGATTCATGGATGGATTCATGGATGGATTTATGGATGGATTTATGGATTCATGGATGGATGGATGGATTCATGGGTGGATTCATGGATGGATTCATGGATGGATGGATGGATGGAATCCATGGATGGATGGATGGCTGGATGGATGGATGGATGGAATCCATGGATGGATGGATGGATTCATGGATGGATTTATGGATGGATTTATGGATTCATGGATTCTTGGATGGATTCATGGATGGATTCATGGATGGATTTATGGATGGATTTATGGATTCATGGATGGATTCATGGATGGATTTATGGATTCATGGATGGATTCATGGATGGATTCATGGATGGATTCATGGATTAATGGGTGGATTCATGGATGGATTCATGGATTCATGGATGTATTTATGGATTCATGGATGTATTTATGGATTCATGGATGGATTTATGGATTCATGGATGGATTCATGGATGGATTTATGGATGGATTTATGGATTCATGGATTCTTGGATGGATTCATGGATGGATTCATGGATGGATTTATGGATGGATTTATGGATTCATGGATGGATTCATGGATGGATTTATGGATTCATGGATGGATTCATGGATGGATTCATGGATGGATTCATGGATTCATGGGTGGATTCATGGATGGATTCATGGATTCATGGATGGATTCATGGATGGATTCATGGATTCATGGATGTATTTATGGATTCATGGATGTATTTATGGATTCATGGATGGATTCATGGATTCATGGATGGATTTATGGATTCATGGGTGGATTCATGGATTCATGGATGTATTTATGGATTCATGGATTCATGGATGGATTCATGGATGGATTTATGGATTCATGGGTGGATTCATGGATTCATGGATGGATTCATGGATGGATTCATGGATGGACAGACAGACAGACAGACGCAGGAACTGAGCACACAAAGCTCCTTCCCCTCGGCACAGCTCTTCCTGCCTTGACTCAGCCTGGAAGCACATCCTGCTCATCCCGGGATTCAAGCAAACCCCCCCTGCTCCCGAATCCAGGGAAACTCTGCCCCTCCCGCAGGCGCAGCTGCTGCAGGCCAGCCCCGAGCCCAGCGGGGGTTTGGAGCCAGGAATATCCGAGCTGAGCGGAGAAGCTCAGGGATCAGGATGGAACCGGAGCGCTGCAGGAATGTTTTCCATGACACAACAGCCCAGCTGCACCGGGGCTCGGGGGATTCCCCAAACCCCGGCCGCACTCGGCACCCAAATCCAGGGAAATTTTAGGGAATTTTGGCAGCTGCAAGGCCCAGGCACGATCCTGCTTTGTGGAGCTCCCCCAGATCCAGACTCCTGGCGCTTCCTCGCCATTCCAAGCGCTCCCAGCTGCCGTGAACAGCCTGTCCCCATCAATCCCAACGCACCTGGCGCTTTCCAGCCCCAAACCTTCGCAGGGAATATTTGATTTCCCTCCCAGCCTGTTCCACATCCTCCCTGCCGGGTTTTTTTGGAACGAGACCCGAACTCTTCCCTTTTCGCACGGATCTTTCACACACAGGGGGGGGAAAACCGGACTTTTCTGCCCCCAAAACCCCAAATCCTGGTTTTGGAAAGAAGGAAGGCAGGACTTTACCGAGCTGTTGACATTTGTTAGTAAAGGGCAGGAGGCCACAGGCCCGGGCAGTTATTGGGGTGTCCCCTCCTCCAGCAGCTCCTCCTCAGGGCTCCCTCAGCTCCTCTGGGGCTCCTTCCTGCTGGAATTCACAGGGATTCATTCCCTGCCGATGGAAAAGTCTGGCTGTTGCTCCCTTGTGTGTTACACACACCCTTTACTGCCCCCAGTACTCCCGGGGTTCCTGGTTTGAGGTGATTTCTGCTGGCTGGAGCGGGGTTTGTTCCCTCCCTGTGTGGGTGAGCCGTGCTGCTGGAGCTGATCCCGCTGGCAGCGGGTGCCAGCTCTTGGGACACGGCCACGGAGGAGCCGGGGGGGCTTCAGAGCTTCCAGCCCACGTGGTGTGGAAAACCCTCCTGGGAGAGCATTCCTTGGGCACAGCAGCTGCTGCTGGGCTCCTGTCCATGCAGGAGTCCTGTCCCTGTGTCCCTGTCCATGCAGGAGTCCTGTCCCTGTGTCCCTGTCCATGCAGGAGTCCTGTCCCTGTGTCCCTGTCCATGCAGGAGTCCTGTCCCTGTGTCCCTGTCCATGCAGGAGTCCTGTCCCTGTGTCCCTGTCCATGCAGGAGTCCTGTCCCTGTGTCCCTGTCCATCCTGGAACACATCCCTGTGTCCCTGTCCGTGCAGGATCCCATCCCTGTGTCCCTGTCCATCCTGGATCCCATCCCTGTGTCCCTGTCCATCCTGGATCCCATCCCTGTGTCCCTGTCCGTCCAGGAGGTCTCGCCCCTCTTTCCTTGT